AATTTCTAGAAATAATTCCCATAGTCTTGTGGCTACTCGTAGGGAGTAAAACTCATCATGCGACAATAAATCAATGAACATAAAGTATTGGCGGACATGAAACATTTATCCTCTCTTGCACAAAATTGCAGAATAAGTTTCCGAATTTTAAATGAACTTCTAATGTCGTGCAAAATTCAACTACTGATTATTAAGGAAACATTTGGCAAGTTGCTGATCAAACCCGCCTCTTTCTCGAGATTACTGATTTTGACGATATTGGCTCATGCAGCTAATTAGGAGCACAATTTAAGAAGGATGCAACATCGCAAGGATGCGGTGTCTTTTAACGTTAATTCCTGTAAAGGAGAACAAATCGGTTTTGTTTCAAGGGCGATAGTTAAGATCGTATGATGTGGCTAAATAATGTGAGAAAAGATCTTGTAATTAACCTGTTTATCAACCTATGAATAGAAAATCTGGAAAAACGCAAAAGGTCCCTTGCCACGAGCTCAACAATGCCCATAGGCAATCATCCCTTAAATCTATTGATTACGGGAAATATAATTGAGTTTAACAACTGAGGAATAAATCATTGAGAACGGTGACCAAAACAAAAGAGAAATATTTAGAAAGCTACCTTAACCATATTTTATTGCTTATTATCACGTAGTGAAGGCTCAAGATAACATTGCATTTAGACCGTTATAAGTTGACTTGCGATCCAGACAGTTCCGTAAAGTAGGACGAACAATGAGCAAAGTCAGCTTGCAAGACCAGAATGAATACTGTTTACTTAAGTAGCAACTACATTAACGAGCAGGTCAGATGCGCAAATGGCGAGCTATGTTAAGAAGGCGGAGTGAATTGCTTATCAGTGATATGCATGAGATAATTCTTCATTTTAATTGGCTGAGAGAAATTTCAGTTTCAGGTAACGGAATGCCAGAGAGGGGTAATGTAGTCCAAAAAAACTTAGTTCAGGACAGAAAAAAAAAGTCTAAAAAGCGTTTAGCTAGGCCTTAAACTTTTTTCGCTTAAAAACTTAAAAACGTTTAAAAAAAATATTGTTTCGAGTAACCGGGGTGATGATTGCAAGGTGGAATCAAATATTTTTGCTCGTGATTAACGCTTTTTGCTTTTGCTTTTGCTTCTTCTGTGTCTGGAAAATACTTTGATATTTTCGCTGAAAATGTTAGAGCATAAATATGACCACGGTGTGAAAACATGGTTTGTCTTCCGCATTTCATAAATGAAGACAAACACGTCACATATCGAGCATCAGCCGTTCGTCAGAGCGAATGGAGTTGTGTGTGTATTTATATGCAAAAAATAGAACCACGCTGTTGGCGGGAACATGGTAGCGAAAAAAACAAGAATAAATTAGTTGCACGACATGCGTTCGTTGCCCTTGAAAACATGAATGTTTTTTCTAAAGTTTTTCCGATTTTCGAACTGCCTAGATGTAAGGAAAGGCCGCAGACCCCTGTATGCTGCTTGGAAAGATAAATATTGGTGAAACAGGAAGATAACTAGGTGACCGATTCCGACGACGCTTTCGCGACTTAGAGAGGAATGACAAGGACGCATACAAACCAGACAATTTAATCTGGATAATCATTTCAAACGGCATATTCATTCCAAAAAAAGCATAGAACAAGTCTGCATGTTTCCGGCTGGCTGAATAACAACAAGTGACGCAGTTACGCTAAATTGAGCTTAGCAAAAGTCCCGCAGTTTCTACGTTGAACTTTATGCTTTTAACACTAATAGCAAAATAAACTAAATACTTATAAACATTCTCGTTAAACGCAACCTCTACTTTTAGGTACCGCTCAGATCATAGATTCCAAAGATATCATCATGGCTGTTTGGGACAAGAAAGTCCTTTTTGCCACAGCGCTTATCTTCTGTGCTCTATTGGTCTTATTGCACAAACATTTTAAGTGTAACTTAGCCTCCGTCGTTGATAAATTGGTAAGACTTTAAATTCTGTTTTTTTTATTATTTCGGAAATTAAAGTTTAATATGCACTGTTAACTTAGAGAATGATGTTTGAGATGTTCACATCTTGGAATGTGCATGAATGAGGCGCTCACCCATTGAATAGTCGATACATTCCTATCCTTCCCATGTTTGAAAATTCTGACACAGTTCATGTCATTTTACCCTTGTTACTATTTCAGTGCTCAGCTTATGAGGTAGGTCATGTGTCAGGTCCATTGTGCCCCGATCTCTGTGGCTCACAAAGCACTTTCCATCTTGGAAATTGCCTCAGTACGGTGCCTGATAAGAAGATTTATAATGGAGAATGGCAAGGAAAGAAAATTATCTTCAAAATTAACATGAGCTGGTTTGAAGAGTTTGAAAGGAGTCAGAGAATAGCCGACATTTCAGTTGTATCATCATATCAAGAAGATGTCTCCTCCAGAGTGAAGGC